AATAAATAAAAGTGGACACACGGAAATGAAAACATCCCCCTGGCTCATGGATTGGGAGGATTAACATCATTAAAATGGAAATACTCACCAAAGCACTGTACAGATTCAATACAGTCCTTATAAGGACATCCATGACATTTTTCAAAGAAAAAGATCAAACACTTCGAAAATTCTTATGAATATTAACTCCTCTCAACTCCACCCCCAGTAGCTAAGAAAAGAAGATGGAAGGCTTCACGAAGGCTTCACCTTCCCCAACTTCAAACTGCACTAAAAAGCAGCATGGCACTGGAATACAGAAAACTTCCTCAGATAAACATTCAGTTATTTTCAATAAGCGAAAAATATGAACTGAAGAAAGCCTATTCAAAAAGTGGTACTGGGAAAACAGGTTCACTACATCCAAAACCAAACAATCAAAAAAAAAAAAACCCCACAAAACAAATTTCTAATGCCATGCAAAAAAAGTCAAATCAAAATGGATTAAGGAGGGGTCAGAATGATAGTACAAGTGGCAGAACATGTGCCTTGTACAGACAAAACTGGGTTCAACACCTAGTACCCTGTATGGTCCCCTGAGCCCACAAGAACTGGTTTCTGGGTACAGATTCAAGAGTCACAACTGAACACACTAATAATAATAATGACAATAATAATAATAGTGATAAAATTCTTTAAGTGACAAAAGACCTGGCTAGCAGGCCAGAATCCCTAAGATACATAAAGAAAAACATAGACAGAACTCTCCAGGATACTGAAGCTAAAGGCATCTTCAAGGATGAAACACCACTGACCAAGCAAGTGGAAGCAGACTACATTAAACTAAGAAGCTTATGCACCTTGAAGGAAAGGACCAAGATCCAAAGACAGCGCACAGTAAAATATACCAGAAAATTTATTTACCCAACACTTATTCGATAAGGAGCTAATAGCCAAGATATATAAGACACTGGTACAACTTTACAAAAAAAAAAAAAAATCACAGAACCCCATCCAAAAGAATGGGGAGAAGACCAGAAACTTCTTAAAAAAAAATACAAATGGCAAAAGAGCACATAAAAAATTGCTCTTCATCACTAACCATCAAGGAGATGCAATGAGCTATTTCATGCCACAGAGACTGGCACAAAACCAGAACCAGAACAAGAACAACCAGTGCTGGCATGGATGTGGGGAGAAAGGGACTCTCATTCACTGCTGATGGGAATGTCAACTGGTCCAGCCTTTCTGGGAAACAATATGGACATTCCCCAAAAAAGCTAGAAATTGAGCTTCCATACAACCCAGCAATACCGCACCTGGGAATATAACCTAGGGTCCAAAAACGCAATGCAGAAAAGCAATCTGCACACGTGTGTCCACTGCAGCACTATTCACAATAGCCAGAATCTGGAAACAACCTGAGTACCGGAGAACAGGTGAGGAGATAAAGAAACTATACTACATCTACACGATGGAATACTACACAGTTATTAGGAAAAATGAAGTCATGAGATTTGCTTATACATGGCTGGACTCTATCATGCTGAGTGAATGAGTCAGAGAGGGAGGGACAGACAGAATGATCACACTCATTTGTGGTATATAAAAAACCTTTTGTAATTTTAGAATACTCAAAGACAATAACTCTGTTTTTAACAGTATATCTTAAGGTCGAGGTCTCGAGCAATCTTAAAGTCATTCAGTCAAAAAAATTTTTTTTGAAAAAAAAAAAAAAAAAGAGTATAAAAAAAAAAAAAAGGAACGAAATGAGGGAGCAGATAGGGGCTGAAGCAACAGGACAGTACGGTGTCCCATATGGTGCTCCAAACACCACCAGGAGTTAATTCTTGAATGCAGAGCCAGAAGTAAGCCCTGAGTATCACCAGGTATGGCAGGAAGGATAGACCTGAGAGAGTAGGTGAGTGTTTTGCACGCAACCAACTCAGGTTCAATCCTTAGCACCCGAGTTCCAGTCAGTAGTGATCCTTCAGCACAGAGACAGGAATAAAATCTGTGCACCACTAGATGTGGCAGAACGCAATAAGGACAAAGTGAGGGACGGGGAGGGGGAGAGAGAAATTAGGGTTATAAAGTACGAAGGAGCAGGAACTACATACGTCAATCCTACTTCAATCCGCACATAACAGTCTCCCAAGCAGCACTGAGCACCACCAGGGAGCCCAAACACTGCCCCCAAATAAAAACTGAAAAGAAACAAATGGGGGTCAGAGCAACAGTACAGCAGGTAGGGCATCTGCATTGTACACGGACGACTCAGGTTCAACCGCCGTCCCAACATCCCATATGGTGCCCAAGCACTACCAGGAGAAACCTGAGTGCAGAGCCAGGAGAAAGCCCTGACAACCACTGGGTGTGACCCAAAAATCACAAATAAAAAAAGGGGGCAGGGAAGACAAATGAGCAGTGTGTTCCTTATAAACTGTACAGCACAGCTATAGGCAGTGTTTCATTAATTCTATGCCTGTAAAATACAATGTCAAATATATTGTACAAAATAAATACAGTCTTAGTTTGGCAGGTTTTAAAGTATTAAACTTTTTTTTGGGTCACACCTGGCGATGCTCAGGGGTTACTCCTGGCTCTGCACTCAGGAATTACTCCTGGAGGTGCTCAGGGGACCACATGGGATGCTGGGATTCAAAACCGGGATGGCCGCGTGCAGGGCAAACGCCCTACCCGCTGTGCTATTGCTCCAGCCCCAAAAGTATTAAACTCTTAAAAACTAAATTCAGCTACTTTTAAAATATTTTTTTCAGAATTTATTTGAAGCAATAACTTAACTCTAGTTAAACAATTTGTTAAACTGAATACAATCATAAATTCGGAGTATCAAAGTGTACCAGATAATTTAAGACTATAGGTTTCTATTACATAGCACAATAGAATTTATTTCATTACCTGTCACAATCTAGTTCAAAGTTTTCAAAATTTGTAGTATGTTTAGTCTCCCAGTATTAGAATATACCTAAGAGAAATCTATACACTGTATTTTTCAAATAGTCAGATTCTTCTCCCCTTCTTGCATAATAGTTTCAACAGTGTTTCCTGAAGTCAGAAAGGCAGTACAGTGAGTGGCTACCGCACTGGCCTTGCACATGGCTGACCCAGTCTGGTGCCCTGAGCACAACCAGGAATGATACCTGAGCAAAGCAGGAGGAAGATTACGTAGCTATGGTCCAAAAACAACTACAACAACATAAGAAACATGCGAAAATCAACAGTGTTCCAACTGCATGCCTGGACTATTTATCAGAGATACTGAACTACTACTAACTCATTCGAAGAAACTCAGCTTTTAAGAAAACTCCCAGCAGCAAAGGGGACACACTTCAAACCCGTGTCTCCCTTGAAGCCTATGTTCTCTCTTGAACACGGATTTCCTCTCTTTGACTCCCCGCACAACTTTCTAAGTAAGCGTCACTCAATAATCACTATCTAAAACAACCTTGCGGGGCCAGAGTGATAGTACAACGGGCAAGACACTTGCTTCGCACAGAGCCCATGCAGGCTAGATCCCTGACATCCCTCAGGCACTGCCAGGAATGATACCCCAGTGATGAGCCAGGAGTTACCACTAAGCCACCAGGGGTGTGGCCCCCAAACAAAACAAACTCATATGCCACAGACTGGTAGGTGGAAGGGAAGTGTGTGTGTGTGTGTGTGTGTGCGCGCGTGTGTGTGGATGGGGGTGGGGGACAGTGCAGCACTGGTGAAGGAACGGTGTAGTGTTCAAACATTGTATGCCCGAAACCCTTAAAAGCCGAAGAACCCCCAAAAATCCAACCCATCTTGCTTCCCAGACTCAACAGTGAGAACATGAGATCTAACCTGCTACCACCAAAACTCAATGATTAGTAACTATGTAAATCATGGTTCTCAGAAACATTCCTGCAGAGAGGAGAGAGAGGAGTGGAGGGAGGGGGGAAGTGGGAGGAGAGAGAATGAACTCATCACTTCTACCAAATTCAAAAGTCAGGCAATCGAATTCTTTATTCCACTAAAACAGGTTTTCCATTATCTTGTTCCTTATTTTCCAAACTGAAATTAAAATGAAGGCGAAGATCAAATAACTTCACAAAATGTAGAATCTAAGTTGAGCCTTAAAAATTTCAGGAACCACTTTGATCACTAGCATCCCACATGGTCCCCTGCTCACCACCAGGGATGATTTCTGAGTGCAGAGTCAGGAGTAACCACTGAGCATCGCCAGGTGTGACCCAAAACCAAAAAAAGAAAAAATAATTTAGGGAACACAAAATATACAAGTGAAAAAACTACTCATACAGAATAGAGAACTAGTACAGTAGATATGGGGCTTGCCTGGCACATTGCTACATGGGTTTGATCCCCAGCACCAAGATGGTCCCTCGAGCCCAGCCAGCAATGACCCCTGAGCACAAAGCCAGGAGTAAGCAGGGTCAGGAGTGGTACCTCACACAAAAACACGACTCATAAATCAAATAGTGCGAATTTATCATTAACGAATTTCCCCACTACAGTGTCTGTAATACATAAAAAATATTATATACTGCTTTGGATAAAGGTCTACACACTCTGCTGGACCATGCAGAGATATCAAAGGGCTGAAGTGAATGCTTGGAATGCAGCAACCCGAGGACACACCATGGCACCAGAGAGTGACCCCAGCGCCTCCAAGAGGAAGGAGCTCCTCCACAGACCTTGGTGTAGCTACACCCTCCCCCCCAAGAAGCCTACACGGCTCAACGGTAAGGAATGGACTGGAAAACTCGCCTCTGGGTCAGAGAGAGCTCCGTGGGGAGGACACTTCCCTTGCACAACCTGGTTTCCATCTTGAGCACCACCCTAGGTGGGCCCTGTCAGTGCACTGAGAAAGAACTAGGTCCAGGTGCGGCCCAAAACCAAAAAGGAAAAAATAATGCAGAGCAAATTAATTTGAAAAGCCATTAATACTTCATCAAGTAGTTCTTTTTTGAAACACAGCAATAAAGAAAAGAGCAGACTGAATATATACGTACAGTTCCCGAGAGAACATCATGGGGGCAACAGTTGAGAAGGTGACTCTTGCATACTCTGTCATCACTGAATTTGATTCGCTGACGTGTCGTGTCTCCTGTAATATAGGAAAGTTAATAACATTCAAGGTTAGACAGCCAGAAAACACTTATTACTTAGAGCCCCACTATTACTAGATTTTATGTGTGGTTGTACACACATATTTATACATCAGCTCAGGAGGGATTAGTGTCTATAATGTCCTACAGAAAAAACTATTATAGATAACATGCAGCTGCAGTACTGTACTGCATATGTGACTCAGATAGTCCACGTGGGAAAGCAATCATTCTGTTAACATAGAGTACTTCAGAAAAGCATGGGATTTCAGAGCAGGAATGGACCTTGCAGATTAGAGAGTCCAACTCCTTCTTACTGCAGATGAGGAAACTGAGGCCCCAAAGAGGTTAAGCAACTTGCAGCAGACCCACTAGGAACGTTTTACTGGTTTTCAATGTTCTCTACTGGACACTAAGCATGGACTTTATGATTTACATTAAGGGAAAAACATAAAAAATAAAAATAATCTTGCAAACATTGCATACACACTGCGAATCCCCACTGAACCCCAGACGCCATTTCTTCCACTATTTTGTTCCAGCTGAAGTGTGTCCCCTTTGCTGTTGGGAGGAGTTAAGAGAGGGTAGAATAACGTGTTTAAGAGCGTACAAACCTGGAAGAAGGACTTACACACCAGTCAAACAAAGGCACATTGCCTAAATGAAAAGGAAACTTGAATGCCTCCGAGGTCCTGTACCTCCAAGTTTTATGGAGTCAGTCTGTGCTACATCATTGCCAAACAGGGTACATTTAAATTCACGCTTGATATAACACAATCCACCTCCTGAGCAACACAAGCTTCCCAACTTGCTCACCAAATATGCCTATCTACTCAAAACTTTAAAGAGCTAAGGAAAAGAAACGTAACTAGCTCAAATAACGAAACAAAGATGTTAGTTACTAATTTTTTTTTTTTGGCTTTGGGGGAAAACAAAACAAAAATGGTTTTAAAGATATTTCCTATATAGAATGCTAAGAAATTTAAGTGTTTTATTTTGGCTTTAAATTGGCATTATCACTAAGAATGAAAACCTACTGGTGAATTACTGAAGCAAGAACTGCTGGTACCAAAATAGACTGTAAATATTTCTGTACTTCACATGATGCCTGCATCATGCCAAAAACTCATTTAGGAAATGATTACACTGTTTTTCACAAGACCAACAAAAGGATTACCCCCTCAAGGTTATCTTGGAAGACTCTTTCAATACTGCAATTTAAGGAGGTGGTGGTGGTGGTGGTGGTGGTGGTGGTGGTGTAAGAGGTTTTGTTCAAAATTTTGTCTGGTTCTGGGAGGTGCCTCCACAGTGATGCTCAGCAGGCCTGATGGTTCAATGCAGGGGCCCCAGGAGGCAGTCCAGGGGATTGACCAGTGGTCAGCTGCACGCATACCCTGTGTGTTGGTCTCTGAACCCTCAAACTGTTAACTTTGTTAGAAAACTTAAGGTACATCCTAATTTGTGACTGGGATGTAAAAAAAAAATGTTTTGATTTAGGGCCAACCAACAGAACTTGGGGGCCAGGAATCAAACCTGGGACTCCCACATATAAAGCATGCACTCCAGGTCTATATGCCTCTCTTTGGCCCAGAGAAAATGGAAAAAAAGGCGGGGGGGGAAGAGAGGGGATTGGTTGAGGGAAGAGAAGTTTCCATAATCTGGCAGTGTCCAGAAGCTACACCTGGCAGTGCAAAGGGGAAAGAACAGTGCCAGGGAACAGGCCGGCCTCCGCAGGCAAAGCCTACATACTTCCCAGTCCTTCGTTTTCTCTGGGCCCACAAAACGTTAAGTAACTCAGAGTTAAAATGGTAGCGTCAGAGCAGTTCAACAATAGGTTTTCAGGAAGATTGTCTAATTAGATTATTTTTATATTCTAATTTGGAATAATCATTTAGTATTCACGCCTGCTACTATATAAGTTATCTTGATGGTTCTTGTCTTTTCTTTTTAAACACAACTGCTTTTGTTCCACATTCATTAACACATCTGAAAAGTTAGTGATAACTCACGGCTCGGCGAATGCGGGGCCTTTCTGACACTCCCTTGCAGACTGAAGTAGGCAGGCATAGATACATTGAACCTTTACAAATAAAACAAGGGGCCAGATTGTTCAGTTTGTATAGGATAGACTCTGCCAGCAATTTCAATACAGTATCTAGAAGTACATGTTGATCGTAAAGCTTCTTGTATATGGAAACAAAACAAAACAAAAAAAGTGAACAAAACTGGGGTATTTTGCTTTTCTAAAATACTGACTTTACCAGTGTAACCCCAGGGAAGAATAATTACAGATAGTCTAGGCTTCAGTGCCAGAAAGTGGTCCTAGAAGCCAGCTACAACCTAGAAACCAATCTATTTTAATAAAGGTTTTATTTTTAAAGTAAATTTCATCAGGCTGTGGGGGGGAAGCATGGGCTCATCCTAAAATGACATACTATGATGCAGCTCATACCGGATTAGCAATGCCATATACATCAGAAGCTTTTTGCTTGCTAGTGGGCGAGGGGGTTTTATTTGAACTGAGTTCAGTATACGCTAAGAGAGCAAACACATACCATTTTAATGAAGGAAAAAACAAAATCCCTCTCCAGATCTTGGAAACTCCCTGCTACAAGGACCTATACTTTTGGGTATGAAACAGCAGTATCATATACAAGTTCTTTCAGACTAATAGCTCAAGGATACTATAAGCCAGACCTTAGAATCAAGTGAGACTTATGGTAAATTTTACTAATCAAACACTATGACAAGAAACTACTTATTTTTTTTTGCTTTAAAAATCCAATATTAAATCTAGTATTAAGATTTATGTGCCTTAAAGACACAGCAATTAGATAAAATATGAATAATTCCTAACACAGTCAGCAAACAGTACTTCCAAGCAGCTTTTAAAAGAATCAGAATTCAAAATTCTGGGGTCCAGGGCTGGAGTGACAACACAGCTGGGAGGGCGTTTGCTTTGCACGTGGCCAACTCAGGTTTGATTCGTAGCATCCCATATGGTTCCCCAGCAATGCCAGAAATAATTTCTGAGTGCAGAGCCTGTGCATCACCGGGTATGACCTCCTTAAGGGGGGAAAAAAAATTCTGGGGCTGGAAAGATAGCACAGGGGGAGGGCTGCCATGCACACAGCCAACCCGGGTATAATCCCCAACATCCCATATGGTCCCCCTAGCACTGCCAGGAGTGATTCCTGAGTACAGAGCCAGGAGCAACGCCTGAGCATCGCTGCGTGTGACCCAAAAAGAAAAAAAAAGGAAAAAAAAAAACAAACAAAAACAAAAAAACAACTTTCCTCAAAATTTAACCCATGCCAACAAAAGAATCGGTCTTTATAAACTCTTAATTTTTTCTAATTCCTCACTGCAGAAAAATAAAATGTTAATACGTATACATTAAACAAGCAGTAGTTAACTGCAGCACAATTAATACAGCCATCAGTCTGCATATTAACCCCCAAATAATTTCAGACATACAAATAAGCTGAGAGATTCAAACAGCTAAGTACTGATTTGCTAATATTTTAAAAGTGTTAACTTTTATGGCCAATGTTATGACAATTTGGCTACATCACCACGCACTATTTAAATGGCATGGAAGTACAATTTTGCTAAAACAAAAATATTATAAAAATACCGATAATTCTGATTTCTGTCAAACATCTGGCCCAAACCATGTTCTGTCAAAGTAAGCTAAGCAGAACGATGCCCATTTGAATTTAAGGAAACAGTGGTGGGGACACGGACTATATTACAGGAAACAAGCATAAACCAAATCTCCTTACAAAACAAGGAATTAATTTATAAATTTAATGTCTTCGGGTTTTCTGGGCATATATTCATATAAAAATTAAACCGAATTATGAAAAAAAAATCGCACTGTTAAATTAACATCAAATCCAAGTCACAGAATCAGCCCTAATGGGGATTAAAAGAGGCTAAACAAGAAGAGGCATACAAGGCAAGCTCTTAATGAAGCATTTTTCTAAACGATGCTTTTAATGAAAAAAACATTTACAACAATAATGCAAAGGAGCATGATCCCACTGCCAAATGGATGATTCCGATAGCACTTTAGGAATTTTAGACCAGAGTGTTAGCCAGCCAAGGGCTGAGAGGTTAGAAAAGCACTTGTGCGTGGAGAACCCATGATCTGAAGAAACAGAATCGAGAGGAAAGAAAGGGAGAAAGGGGAACATTCCAAACAGACAGTACCCTGGAGAAAGATTATTAAAGTAGAAAGTTTGGGAAACACTAAGAGATTAACATTTGGCTTTTGGAAAATGGTCTCATGGTGAAGAACAGCAAAATTGGGGCCAAAATATCATTTTTAAGTAGAATCTTGACTTTTTAAATAACTTTTTCTCCTATCCGAATTTTCAGGGTATGTGTGTGTGTGTGGATGGGGGGGAACCACCCTTTAAAAATAATATATTGGGGCTGGAGCAATAGCACAGCGGGTAGGGTGTTTGCCTTGCATGCGGCCGACTCGGGTTCGATTCCCAGCATCCCATATGGTCCCCCGAGCACTGCCAGGAGTGATTCCTGAGTGCAAATCCAGGAGTGACCCCTGAGCATCGCCGGGTATGACCCAAAAAGCAAAAAAATTTTTAAAAAAATTAAAAAAATAAAAATAATATGCCTAGGGACAGAGCGGGCACAGCGGGTAGGGCGCTTGACTTTCCTTTCCCGGCACCCTATACGGTTTCCAAGCACTGTCAGGAGTGATTTCTGAGTTCAGAACCGGAAGCAACCCCTTAAGCATTCCTGGGTATGGCCCCCACAAACAAAAACAAACCTCAAAAAAGGAAGAAATTAGTATCTGTATAAAAAAAAAAAAGGTTTTGGGGTAGGAGCGATAGGACCGCAAGTAGGTCGTTTGCCTTGCACAACCAACCTATTATAAAAGGCGTATCGAACCCAGCCAACCTGGGTAGGATACACCAACAAAACAAAAAATGATTTGGGGTCAGGGTGACAGTACAGTGGGTAGGATGTTTGCCTTGCACACCATAAACCCAGGCTCGACTCCCAGCATCCCATATGGTCCCCCGAGTCCACATGGAGTGATCCCTGAGGGCAGAGTCAGGAGAAAGACCTGAGCACTGCTGGGTATGGTCCCAAAACAGAAAAAGACCAACAAAAAATAGATGTTCTACAGTCAAATCATTTTGGTTCCTCTATCCATAACTTCCACAATAACAGGGTCTTGTATACAACTAAAATGACAAGTTTTTAGAAATTAGAAATGCTCAAGAATTATGGCTGACAGTGTCCTTCAGTTGAATGAATCAAATTTTCTATTAGAATTTCCTACCAAGCAACTAACTTCTAACAACTCTCTCGTCCTCTCCTTTCTCTCCTTAGAGAGTTTAATGAATATGGAACCTGAGTCACAAGTAAACAAAATAAAAACTGGAATATACATTATTCAATGAGCAGGACCTCAGGTTAGTTACCCAAATCACCAGTTTTACTCAGGAAATATGCACGAGGCTACTCTATAAAAGGCGGCTTCTGGTCAAATTGTACTCAAGTATTACTAGTCTCAAAATTCCCTTCAATCAGTTGGGAGGATACAGGAAACCCCACTAATTCCCAACACAGCCATTTCATGGGCCTGCCTCTTCGGAAACTGAGTCAGACTTCAACTGTAGGAACAATGCTTTAAACTCTCAGCTGACACATTACCTGCTGTCATTTAACACGGTTCATGCTCTTTTCCCAAACCCCATGCCCACACCCCCAGTACCACCCACCTCCTCCTTCCCATACAAACAATAAATTAAATCAATTTTACATAGGTGCTATTTTAAAAACATCAAAATTTTACTTTACCCATTCTCTCCGATGCTCCCTGTATTTTTTTAAGCTGTGAGTGGATGACCATGCTATGTGATCAACAACTGTGAAGGCTAAGCAAAAGTGAACCGAGTTTAGTATTTCAAAAGAACCTTGAAATTTGTAATATTTGACATACATAAAATGATGCGCAGAATCCTTATCTACTGCATATTACCAGGCATTAATAGCAAGCAATTTATAAAAACTAATTAGTATTTCCTTTGTACAGAAATAGAGCTTGACTTAGGAAAGACAGGAGAAAATTCAACCACATACAAAGCGAATGGAAGCACCCTCTAGTCTACAAACGGGGCAATGGAAGGGTTCGGCTCCCACCGTTCCCATTAAACCACCAAAGTCCTCCTCCCCAGAGATACCTGCGAGGACACCAGGCACTGCTGGGCCAGGGCAGGCACAATCTCCCTGAGTAAAATCACAACGCTTAGTGACAAGAGAGCCAGAACTAGCAAGACAGACGTAAGTACGAAGTGTGAGATTCCCTATGCCCCCACTCTTTGAGTGCTAAAATGTAAAGTGACCCCATCCTCCTGACCATTCCCGACAACAGATACTTCCGTCCAGGTAATCCTTAGGTGGATTAATCAGAGACCCAGGGGCAGTGCCTAGGCTAGGCTAGGGGAAGAAAGGCCTTTCAGAAAGACCAAATAAACCAAATCTTCCCGTGGAAGGCAAGTCAAAGAGGACACTGCTGCAGTGATTATTATACTGAAGAACCAGTCATCATTTTTACAATTTCCTCAAAATTTCTCATCAACTCTACTAATTCAGTCTAGGGGTCAGAGAGCTAGTACAGCAGGTAAGGTGCTTGCTTGGTTTGATTGCTGGGTTTGATTCCTAAGCACAGAGCCAGGAGTAAGTCGTGAGTATCTGTGAGTGTGATCCCAAAACTAAAAGTTAAATAAACAAAATTCAGTCTAATGCTCACTTAAGCAATTCCTGTAATTAACATAAAAAAAGGACTTATTTTTGGATACACCCAGAAATTACTCCTGGTGGTTTTCGGGAACCCTATGGGATGCCACTACCCTACCCACTGTACTGTCTCTCCTGCCCCCCAAAACCCAACTCTCATCATTCTATTCCCCCTTGTGGTAAACACATTGCTTAATCTACTTATTAGGTATACAGTTCCTAGAAATTCCTTCTGAAAAAAACTCGCCGTGTTTTTTTTTTGGGGGGGGGGGGCGTAGGCAACACCCAGCAGTGCTAATTCTGGCTCTGTAGTGAGCCCTGAAGGTGCTCAGGGAACCACATATGGTGCTAGAGATAGAACCAGGGTCAGCTGGATACAATAACTTAATCCCTTACATTATGTCCCTGGCCCCCTCACTACATGTTTTGTTTTTTTTTGGTTCACACCCAGTGATGCTCAGGAATTACCCCTGGAGGTGCTCAGGGGACCATATGGGATGCTGGGAATCGAACCCGGCTTGGCCACGTGCAAGGCAAACTGCCCAAACCACTGTGCTATTGCTCCAGCCCCTCACCACCTCGTTTTAACAATATGACTAGAGATGCTTGTAAACTTGTTTTGGCCAGTTGGCAGTGCTTTGGGGGCTGCTACCAACTTGGTGACTGAGAGGGTGCAGGATCAATCTGTGCAGAGCCTGGGGGGCCAGAGTGTTAACACAGGCCTCCTGGATGCACTGCACCCACAGTAGCTCCCTCAGCAATCACTCTGGCCCTGCTTTGGAAATAGTTAATATGTCTAACTTTTAGGAAACACATTAGTAAGGAAAATGAAGAGTTAGCCAAAGACTGCAATGCAGACAACCGATTACAACTCTCTTCCTTCCAGATGTATGTCATGTCTTTTCTAAGAACCTATAAAATAATTACAAAAGTAGCAGCTTTCCTTTCCCCAGAAAATACAAATATATTATGTATTATACAGAAAGGCTTATTCCTCTTACCTTTCACATAGTCATAGAGACGTACAATAACAACTAGTTAGTAATACCATCACCACCATAATCTCCGTGCAAGTCCAAGATTTTAAAAATCAAATGCTAACTATGGAAATTTCCAGAACAAGGTCATTTTTACTGGATATAGCCAAGAAGTAATGATTCTAAAATATTTTTCTAAGTTACATTAGCCTACTTTTCTATAAAAACCGATGCTGGGGCCAGTGCAGCACTAAGGCACTTACTTCGTATGCAGTCAACCTCGGCTCAATCCTGGGCATCCCCTAGGGCCCCCTAAGCACCACTAGGAGCGATTCCTGCATGCAAAGCCAGAAGTAGCCCCTGAGCACCTCAGGGTAGTAACCAAAAACCAAAACAAGGGGGCTGGAGCAATAGCACAGCGGGTATGGTGTTTGCCTTGCACAAGGCCGACCCGGGTTCAATTCCCAGCATCCCATATGATCCCCCGAGCACCGCCAGGAGTAATTCCTGAGTGCATGAGCCAGGAGTAACCCCTATGAATCGGCAGGTGTGATGCCAAAAACATGGACACACACACACACACACACACACACACACACACACACAAAACCCAAAAGCAAAAAACCAAAAAGATTTCATGGGATGAGATTTAGAAACCATCTTGATAAGAGGAGATAAAGCTTCAAGCTTCAGAGCTAGCAGAATTGTGACAGAACTGCAAGAAAAAAAAATACTAAATAGCTAGTCTCAAGTTTCTATTCTACCCCGATCTCAACCCCATTTTCTCTCATTATACATGTACCAGGAAATGTGTCAACATATTTCAGCTGGGTTAGATCCTCAGTATCCCATATGGTCCCCTGAGCACTGCCAGGAGTAATTACCAAGCACTCTGGATGTGGTCCCCAAAACAAACAAAAATCAGTTATTAAAAAGCACTGCTGCTGGGGCCAGAGAGACAGTACAGCTGGTAGGGTGCTAGCCTTGCATGTGGCCAATAAGGGTTCAATGATCGCTAATGTCCCACATGGTCCCTGGAGCACCACCAGTCGTGACTCTTGAGTGCAGAGCCAGGAGCAATTCCTGAGAGGTTGTCAGGTGTAGTCCCAAAAGGAAACAAAATAAAAACACAAAGTTGCAGTCCACTAAATTTTCTATTTTGATACTTACTTGCAGAACTACAATTCTGATACAGAAATTCTGGTACTCTGGATTATCTGGTGCCTTCTATCATCTAGAAAACTCTACACACAAAATTAGAAGTAAAATCTATTCTGCTATGAAAAATACCACAGAAAAAGTGATTGATTTATCTATAAAAAGACAAGTCCTCACTTGTTAGTGCAAGGTATAAGACCCAAGCAGCATCTCCCAAACCTAAAACCTATGAAAGAAACAACAAGGGAAGAGAAATGAGAATTATCACAGGAAAGAGGAAACAGACAACTCAATGATCAAGGAAGTTCAAAGAAAAATTACCGTGAAGGAGACCAAGGCTTGCTCTGGAAGACCACAGATCACTGTGGGGCACCGAACACACCAGTCCCAAGGAAAAACTGAGACTGAAGATGAATCAAAGAACTTCATCTGGAATGTTCCTTTTTTTTTTTTAAGGAAAAGGAATTTGTTTATCCTTATATATTTTGATTGTCCTTTGTATTTAAACGTTTCTCAAAATTAAACTACTACAATCAAAAGCAAATTAAAAAACAAAAATCAAATTTATTACTTGGAAATAGACACATATGGCTGGAGACCAGGGGAAATAGCACAGTGGAGAAGGAGCTTACCTTGGACATGGCCAACCCCATAATGCCTCTGGTCCCCAGCACAGCCAGGAGAGGCCCCAAATCGAAATCATAGATAAAATATGGGAGAATGGGAACTCTTAGTAAACCTCGAGCACCCTGCGCCTGAGAAACAGAGGTGCAAATCTTTGCAGAAGACAGCCCGGTCAAGGCATTCAGCTCCTTCAGCTCCTGCAGCATTAGTCGCTACTTTGTTGCAGGTGAAAAATTATTGCTGAGGCAATAATCTTTAGGGAAAGGAAAGAGAAAGGAGAGTAACCCAGCAACCTTGGGGCAAGTCGGCAGGGTTCTACTCTCCAGCCCTCTATCCTGGGGCAGAAGTGCCCGGGAAATGCTGTCCCCCTCTCCAGAATGAGGCCACAACATGCAAATGGCCGTTGGCTGACAAAACCGATGCCCAGCCCTGGCTGAGCTAGGTGGAAGCACACTTGGCCTTGCATGTATGTTTGGAGCCCTAGGTGGGAAGCTGACGGGAAGGAATGGGAAAGGAAAAACTGATCACTACACTCTGAAGCACAGCAACCAAAAATACACAGAACAGTCTCTAGGGACACACTCCCTCTAAAGCATCACCCCAAAATGTCTCTGAACCCGTGCTTTGCTAGCAAGCCCGCTGGCAGGGCAGTCACAGCCACTTCCCAGTTTCCAGGGCAGATTCTGGCACCCACACCTAGGCACCCTTTTCGAGAACCCAAGGCCCTCCCGGGCTCCAGGGAGTCGCCCAGAGGTCTCACAGGTTTGGATTTCTGGCCCGCTTTGCTTTAGAACATGGTATGGAAGTCTCATGAGCTTCTCATGAGGTTGTGTATGTGGACAGCTAGAACAATGTTTTGGCTGGTTTTATTTTGAGGGGCTCTTAAGCGGGACCCCATGATGCTAGGATGGAAATTCAGGCCTTCACTGCTCAGGCATGTGCTCTAGAACTTTAACTCGTCTTCCTGGCTCCAAGTTACAACAGTTTTCCCCAAAGTATGGAATTTGTAGAGAATATTTCTACAGAACTTTAGGTATTATGTAATTTTACCAACATGACATTTTTTTTGGGGGGGGGAGGGTTGGTTTTTGGTGATACCCGGGTTACTCTTGGCTCTGTGCTGAGTGATCACTCCTGACAATGCTATGGGGACCATATGGGGTGTCAGGATTGTACCCAGGTCTACCCTGTGCAAAACAAGCACCCTACTCACTGTACTGTTGTTCTGGCTCCAACACTTTTTAAATACCACCCAATTATTTAATGATGATATTTATCACAACTATTTATCATAAAAGATTTTACCTGATGTTAAGAATGTATTTAGGGACTGGAGGGATAGCACAGCGTGTAGGGCTTTTGCCCTGCACACGGTCGACCCGGGTTCGATTCCCAGCATCCCATATGGTCCCCTGAGCACCGCCAGGAGTGATTCCAGAGTGCAGAGCCAGGAGTAACCCCTGTGCATCGCTGGGTCTGACCCAAAAAGCAAAAAAAAAAAAAAAAAAAAAAAAAAGTATTTAATACACATAACCAGTTATTATTTTGGGGTTTCTTTTGGGGGGGGGGGCACATACTAGTGGAAGGGCAGTGCCCTATTTGCTATACCATTCCTCCAGCCCAGCAAGTTCTAAATTTTAGCACAGAACCTTATTTTCATTTCATTAGTTTTTCCAATATAAAATTTTATTTTTAAAATAAGGGATTGGAGTGATAGTATAGTGGGTATGGGCTTATCTCACATGTGGCCAAGCTGGCTTTGATCACTAACACCCAACATGGTCCCTCAAACCTGTCAAGAAAGACCCTTGAATACTGCTGGTGCAATCCCTCTCAGCCCTTCCCCCCAAAAAATTAAAAAAGAGAAATTAAGTTAAATATGACTCTGTAGAGATAATCACATGTCTTGCATGAAGTTGATCGAGGTTCAATTCTTGGCCCTGCAGCTGGCTCTGATCCCTGAGCAAAGCTGAATATGACTTCCAAAAAAAATAAGTTGAATATATGTGGGGAGGGGCCAGGACTGGGGCTGGAGCAATACTATAGTGGTTAGGGTATTTGCCTCACACGTGGTTAGCCCAGGTTTGATCCCTGGAACCCCATACGGTCACCCAAGCCCATTAGGAGAGATCCCGGAGCACAGAACCAGGAACAAAAACTGAGCAATGTTGGGTGTGACCCAAGAACAAAAACAAAAGAAAAAGAAAATCAAAGCAATTTACCATACTTTCAGGAGACACGACAAAAGACTTACAAGGGCAGCTGGTTAAATTCTTTTCAGTTGCATCAGAATCACAGGTAAACATCATTTGTACAGGGTTCACAACTAAATCAGAACATATGGGTCAATTACCTAGTGAATTTTTTACAAAAAACAAAAAAAGCTTATAAGATTCCTTTCTTTAGTACATGTTAAATGGCAAAATAAGATGCTTATTGACTAAGCTGTTACGGTTTTTACATAAAAACATTCAGTTCAAAGGAAACACTATAACCAATTGCATTTTTTTACAAACTACTTTTTTCCATCTTCAATCATCTTACAAACTGATGAACTGATTACGGTCTACCTTCTGATTTCTATCCTAGAGACCATTAGTGCTTAACACCTTAAATGAAAAAGAAACACATTTCTGAAGGTCCTAAATCCTTAAGATTCCTATCAGGAACTTGCCCTTCTCTTGATAGATCCTTCACTTCTCCAGTAAGATGTTCTCAGGTTCTTCCTTGTAACTTACAGGTTCTTACGAAACAGACAGAGTGGAACAGGTTACCTTAGGATTCAGGTTAAGTACTTTTCTGGAATTCCATTCAAGGGTATCTCTGCTCCAGTATCTGGTTTTCCCCACCTAACCGACCCGGGTTTTAAGCAACCGTGTGGGCCTGCTGGCACCCTTTAAGAATTTCAAGGAGCCAGAGAGATAGTACAATGGGTAGGGTGCCTGCTTTGCATGAGGTTGGTCAGGCAGACTTGGGTTCAGTCCCGGGCATCCCTTATGGCCCACGAAGCGCCTCCAGGAATAACCCCTGAGCACTGTAGGCGTGGCCCCTGAACCAAACAACCCTACCAGAACAATTTAAGTTTTGGTGTTTGCATGAATGCCGATATTGAACTTTCACTCTCCATAACTAACCCCCAGACATGACACCTACTTGCCTGTCATCTCCTGCTACCCATTTTAAGCATCTACCACGCTTCCATTCATCTTTATGACCTCTAACTCAAATTGAATCAGGTATGTGCTGCTTGTAAAGCTTATGCATAGAGACAAAATGCTTTGTCTCTGGCTTCAGTATATTGCAGAAGCACATTTCTCTGAAGAGAGCCAATCACTGTAGAGAATACAACAGAGGGCTATATGAAGTCTTATGACTATGTTCTGGTATAGTACGTAGAGAGAAATAACTGATTCAGGGCCAGAGAGATAATACTGCAGGTAGGGCCCTTGCCTTGTATGCTGGATTCTATCCCAAGTGTCCCACGGGATCCCCTGAGCCCACTAGGAGGGATTCCTGAGTGCAGAGACAAAACCCCTGAGCACCACTAGCTGTGCCTCTCCCCCACAAAAATAGGAACTGGTTCAGAGTTCAAAATGTAAAATACCATAAATTTCTAGCATTCACTATATGCCTATTGAAATATATTTTTATTAAAAGTATTTTATATGCCTAGACCTCTGATAAAAAAGTGTTTACAAAAATTATTTAATATCATGATTGCTAAAATTTCCTATGAAGAATGTAGATGCTCTGGACCAAGATAAATTTCTTCAAAAATATGTACTTGGGTGGAGTTCATGCCCAATTCAATCAGCTAATCAGTGGCTGAATAAATAGCAGTACTCCTACATTAAAAAAAAATATGTACTTGGGGCCAGTGAAAGGACAATAGGTAGGGTATCTGCCTTGCACGCAGCCGACCCGGGTTCAATCCCGGCATCTCATGTAGTCCCGAGCACCACCAGGAATAATTCCTGAGTGCAGGGCTTGGAATATCAACCTGAGTCGAAAAGCAAAAACAAACAACAAAACCCCCACAAGACCTTATGCTTGTACTTAAAGGCTTAAAAATGAGCAATCCAACTGAAATAGAATGGTTTACAACTGATCAATGAATAACTTATTCATGATGAGAAAAGTGAAAGAAAATGCTCTCAATGTATGATAAGAGGGAACAAATTAAAGACGATTTTATGAAGAGGAGAGTCTACTGAAGAAAACACTACCCATATCTGATTCACTCATTTATTTTCCAAAAAGGCAGGAATGCCAGAGAGTCTTAAGAGATTCAATAATTATGTTATCATCAAATGTCATTACAAACAAGTAAATGATTTTCTGGACTGTATTTTCCTGTGAAACTCCTGCGAAACTCTAGGATGAGTAGCCTTTCAACCTAACAGCTCATATTTTAACAATATAATTAGAAGAAAAAAGATTATTATGAATGCGCACTTCTGAGTACGCCATTAGAGCTAGAATGATCTAAAAATCTTAACTTGACCAAAATATTTTCCAACAATAATCATCACCTAGTTATGGTATAAAATCCTTTTCTATATTCTATTAGTCTCCTACTTGTTTTTGAAAACTGGCCATTCTGGGCCTGGTTAAACCTTCTAGAGATAGTTTTTGCTCCTAATGAAAGGGAAACTTCCATAATTTCTAAACTTAGGCTATAAATCTAAATTCACAGCTTTCATTTTCATTCCCACCCCAGATTACTCCGTCACATAGTCGAATCTCAAAATGGCTACTTCAATTTTCCTGTGTTCCTCCCTTCTTCTAAATGGAAATTGAATTAGCTCTCTTCCCTCTCTATTAATGTTGTGATGTACCTTAACCTCATAGGTCCTTCCTTAAAAAAAAAAAGAAAAAGAAAAAAAAAGAAAAGAAAAAACTTAAAAATATTCTTATTTTTAAACATTATTTAGCACAACAGATTATTTGGGTTCCCATTTAACAAAGTACAGATTTAACTTGAGGCAAAAAAGGTTAGGTGACTTACCCAAGGTCACAATTAGAGGTGCAGCTGGGGCTAGAACCCAGGTCTCCTGAGTCTCAGCCCAGTGCTCTTTCCTTAGCCCATGATGCCTTATCAGAAAGATCCAAATACAGTCAGACCCCCAGTTACATGGGTATGAGTTACACTGATTCACATATACAAACTTTATATAGTGTGACCAATGTTTCAACTCACGCGGTACCCTGCTTCCATTTATGCAGTATGCCAGGCATCGGCACGATTTTCAGTGGCACACAGGCGGTTGCCACCACCAGGGCCCTAGGCAAAATTGCAAAGAAGGCAAAGTTTGTCTTTGGCCCTCCCACCTCCCGGCAACATTCCTCTCCCACCTCCTGCTCAGCCCCTGCCCAGCCTCCCAGCACCATCATGCTGCCCTCTGGCTTTCCGAGGACCCCACTCCCACCGCTCACCCAGGACTGGCCTGTCCTCCTCAAGTGCCCAGCGATCCCAAACAACCTTTCCGTTTCCCTCTCACTACAACTCCAATTCCTAAGGATTTTGGGTTAGGGAGTCTCCGTGATTTTTTTTAAAGACAGAGAGAGAGAGGGGTGAGTCTCCAAGGAGTTTACAGGGGAACTAATATTAAGTGTCTGAGTTTAGGAAAGGGGGTGTTGAAAATAAGCTTTGTTTGAGGGTGGAGAGAGAAGCAAGGCTTTCTCAGTGCCCTGGTCTCCTGTGACAGTTCAGATTCCCAAACAAAGAGGACACTAAGTGTGGAGTGCCACAGTCCAGGAAGACACTGCTTTACCATTAAAAAAGTCTCTGCAATTAAAAAAAACGGGCCAGAGCGGTCCTTAATCCCCTCCTACCTACCTTTTCCATCTCTCTCCCCCTCCTGGATGCCCATTTCCACTTCTTAGTGCCAAGACACCCAACAGCGTTCCCTGTTTGTTAGCTGTGCCTGGGTCCGATACAGAGTCCCATTATATAGCTTCAAATTACTTGATGTTTGTTATTCAGGAACATATCCATGCTCCCCTATCCCTGGATAAGTTAACTGTACAGTAAACGAGAACAATCCTGAATCATAAAACAAAGTATGTAAACTCATTAACTAACTGCTAAGGAAAAGAATGTTCTAAGTCTTGTATACAAGAAAAACCCTATTTGGGTATTTCAGAAAAAAAAATTCTTTTCCTTGAATGTAGTATGTTCCTTCATGCCCAACACAGCAGAGAAAATCCATTCATTTCAACTAATTATTATGGACTTATAAACATGAGTTCATCAGAATTCTCGTAGAAGCAAAAAAATCCAGTGACAGACACATAAAAATATAAACTTACTTATATTCAAAGCAGAGTGGATTTTAAGAAATCCATATTTCTGCTGACTATACACATAGTAATACATCTATGCACACACACATATACACTTCTCTGTATTTAAATTTAGCCTTGACTGAAAATTTATCAAGTGAATGAACAGTAGTTACTTTTGAGCAAACTACCCTTCCCAGTAAAATTAAAAATCTTAATCCACACAGAAGATACCAAAAAATTGGTATTCACCTAGAACCAAGGATCTAGATGACTCATGTAAAAATCTTCAATGATTACAAAAATCATTCTACTGAAATCCTAATTAAGCCTTTCCGAAAACCATCTTCATATTGGAAAAGGAGCAATGTTAACACATTCTGAAGTTATGAAACAAACATTCTAATCTAAAGATGGAAAATGGTACAGGTAAAAGTCTCTCCAGTGGTATTTTTCAGTTTCAAGGGTTTATTACATAAATTCATTTCTTTCTCAAGCCTCCCCTTTCTATGCAACCACAAATAGGTGTACCAACTATAAGCTATTTGTCTAGATATCCTATGAGGGAAAACTCCCATTGTGGGTTTTTATTAAAACTGAACTGTGAACACTGAAAGACATTCTACTCAATAGGTGTTGCCAAAAATAGTTGAATCCAATCATTTAAAAAAAAAAAACCACGCACACATTTTGCTGCGAAGGACTCAAATGATAACTCAAAAAAGGTGCTTTGTCAAGGAAAAAAAAAAAAGCATTTCTCTAACAACTTGGAAACTATCTGCCGAAACAAGGAACAAATGCAAAAGGGCAAGTGGTTTTGCCTGGTTTTTCAATGTCCTCAACTAGGCCTTTCCTCCGTATTAGCATGGACTCAAGCTGCATCCATAAACAATAACTAGGTAATTACCATCCAAAAAAAAAAAAAAAGAAAGAAAAGAAAAAAAAGCCACAGTGTTTCACCTTCTTTTAGAAATTCTCCACGACAAAAAGCTTATCCCGCAGCGAGGGCTTCTTTTTCTATACCCATTCTAACCTAAATGCCCCTAAGGATCGTTCTGTTCCCCTCCATCCTACTCCACTGGGCACCAGAATTTCCAAAATGGTTCTCTTCGGGGCACATGCAAGAGTTGTCAATATTTACTGAACAAAAGCCTCTATTATTAAATTGTCTCACAAAATGGAGGTCTGTCGGTGGAGGGGGAGGGGGGTAAGGAAAAAAAAAACAGAAGAAAGAAAACAGGCCATAACATTTCTCTTTTCCACAAAATGGGGCCAAACACACCCCACTTGCAGAAACCGTGGTTGGGGGTTCAGACTCTCTCCCGGGCCCCGGCTGCAGGGGGACTGCGGAGGGGTGGGGGGGGCGCCTCTCCGGGTCCGGGACCCCCACCCGCGACCCGGGCACCGGGGGGTGGGGGGGGACGGTGGCCGGCGCATCTCAGGCCGCCCGCGAGGGAGGGTCTCCGAGGCCCGGGTGTGTGTGTGTGTGTGTGTGTGTGTCGGGGACGGAGCCGGGGCGCCGGGGCACCCGAGCCGGCGACCACCCGGGCCGGGTCGGGCCGGCCCCGCCGCGCAGGCTGCCCGGGTCCCGGCCAAGTCCACCGAGGCGGCTCAAACTCTCCCCCCTCCGCCTCCGGGCCCCGCCTGACCCCATTGGCAGCCGCTCCCGCCAATCCGCGCCGGCACCGCCCCCCGCGGCCGGCCTGCCCGCGCCTGATTGGCCGGGCCGGGAGCCGGGACCTCGTGTTACCAATCTGGGAGCCCCTTCCTCAGCCACACGCGCGAGCCCAGGTGCGCCCGCGGAGCCCCGGCCCGGCCCGGCCCCGCGCCGCCGCCCGGCCCATCCCCCACCCCCAGGGCACCGGCGGCCACTTACCGTCCCGGGAGGTGCCCATCAGCTGGTCCAGCATGGCGCGCATCTGGGCCTGCGCCGACATGGCGGCGGCGGCGGCGTAGCGGGCGGGCGGGGGCTGGGCGCGGAGCAGGCCCTTTTGGGCCGGGGGCAAGCAGGGGGTGGGGTGGGGGAGGTGAGGCGCCGCCTCGGTGGTGGCGGCAGCGGCGGCGGCGGCGGCGGTGCTGGTGCTGGTGCTGGCGGTGGCCGCGGTGGCCGCCGGCGCCCCGCCGCCTCGAGGCGCGAGGAAAGGGAGCCCGAGGGAACTGAGGGGTTGCAGGAGCGTCCGCGCGGCGCTGCTCCCGACGCCGCGGACGTGGAAGACGGCCGCCCTCGGCCCCGCGCTCTCCGTCCGGGTTCCTGGGACACGAGCCGCACGGGCGCAGCCAGCGCTCGCCGCCGACACCGCCACCCGCCAGAAGCCGTCAGCCCCCCCACCCCAGCCCGCTCTGACGCCGCTCGCCGTCGCCGTCGCCGCCGCCGCCGCCACGCGAGCGCGCACGCTCCGCGTTTCCCGCGGGGGCTCCACCAACCGGCGGCCAACTGGAGGGCCTGGCCCCGCCCCGCCCGGGGCCCCGCCCCGCCCCTCCCGCTCGCCCGCGCGGGGCCCGCCCTAACGGCTCTCGGGCGCGTGCACGCGCGCGGCGCCCGCCCCTGCGCCGCGGCTCTCGCGAGATCCGGGCCTCCGCCGCCCGGCCCGCCCCGCCCCCACCGCGACCCTCGGGCCCTGAGCTGCCCGCCGCGGCGCCCGGCCCGGGAAGCCCGCGGCCGGAAGTGGGGGCCCCGGCTCCGGCTCCGGCTGCAGGGAGGTGAGCGGGCTCCGCACGGAGACGCGCTGACCGTTAAACTCCTCCTCCGGGACCCACCCAGGCCGGTAGCCCCGCGGACAGCTGACCCTTGGGGCCGTGTGCCCACCGTCACCCCCCACCCCCCATCCCCCAGCGTTGCGGGAGATGCGACCACCCCCACCCACCGCACCCCCGACACACAGCAACACACGCGGGGCACCTCGAGCAAACTGGCCGTCGCTCGAGGGGGGGATGGATGGGAATAGGCGGGAGCTGCGGCCTCAGTGGGCAGCTGAGGCTCGGACGTGCGGACCGGTGAGGGCTGGACTCGGAGACGATTGCTCGCCTGGCTTGAAAGAGCAATTGGAAGAATAAGATAGCCTCTGCGGTGCATGGCATCCCCGAGGGGAAAGAGGGCCCGGGGGTCTGCAGTGGGGGGGGGGCAGTCCTTTTGGTATTGTGGGAGTCTGAGCTGTATCGTCGTTCTTAAACTTGCATACAGTTGGAACCCAGTTAACCTTTATAAACCAGAGGTGGGTTTTGTTTTTTTTTTTAATCGCTTAGAGAGCAGAGGACTTCAAAGAATGCAGAACAAGGGCTGGAGAGATAGTACAGGGATGCAGCGCTTGCCTTGCACACACCTGACCTGGGTACAGTCCCCAGCACTACCCTTACCCAGCACCTCCAGAAGTGATCCCTGAGCTCAGCTAGAAAGAAGTAAACCCAGAGCACTGCCGGGTGTGGCCCCCAAACCAACCTGAAAACAAAAATACAGAACCAGAATGACTTACATGCTGAGGAAAACGTGTTCACGGAAGGAAAGGAAGAGGAGAAAGAATGGGTAAGAGGGTTCATTTTTATGGTGGAGGATGGCCCCAAAACAATGGTGGCGGGGCCGCAGGGTGGTAGTACATTTTTGGAGGGATAAAGCGGTATTCTCGCAATATATTATAAATCAAAGATAAGTCAATAATTTTTTTTTTTAAATTTTAAACCCGTTCGGGGCAGGAGAGATAATAGAGCAGTAAGGCACTTGCCATGCATGCAGTTCACCTTGATTCAATTGCCAGGATCACATACGGTACCCCAAGCATTCTCAGAGGTCAGCCCTAAGCAGTGCCATGTGTGGCCCGAAGAGAAACAACAGCAAAAACACTAATTCCTCAAGATGAGATACAGGTACTTCCAAGACACTTTAAAAGGCAGTAATAGTAAAAATGTTTTCATTGAGGTTTCATGGCTAGAGATAGGTCAGTGGGCTGGGTGTACTTGCTCTGTATTCAAAAGGGTTGAGTTTGACCCCCAGCACGGCATGGTCCACAAGTACCCCCTGAACATTGCTCAAAACAAAATTAAATGCATTGCCTTAGAACCTATAACTTATTCATAGGATAAATAGAAACTTCACGTGAAATAGGGATCATAGTCCCAAAACGTCTATAGTGTGTACTGGGCTGATAAACTTTAGAACTTGGGGCTAGCTCAATGATAGAATTCTTGCCTTGTTTGTTTGACACCCTGGATGTGATCCCCAGCACCATAAAAAGGGGAGGGGAATTAGCCTTGGGGCCAGAGCAGTTGACCTGGGTTCAAGCCCTGGCCTCCCAGATGGTCAACTGAGAACCTCCGGTGACCCTTGGGTTCAGGGCCAAGAGTGATCCCTGAGCACAACCAGGTGGGGGAAATATTTAGAAATATCACGTTAGTAATGGAAGCCAGGTTTCCTCTTTGCTCTCTGCTCAGGGATCATCCTGACAGGGATCAGGTGACTGTATGATCAAATCAAGGTCAGCCAGTGCAAGGTCAGTGCCTTGCCAGCTGTACTATCAGATCAAATAAGTTCCATTTTGGTTTCTTGTGTGTGTTTGATTTTTGAGCCATATCCAACAGTGCTCAGGGCTTACTCCTGGTAGTCTTGGGGGACCATACAGAGTGCTGTAGATCAAACTCAGATTGGTCATGAGCAAGGCAAATGCCCTGCCCACTCTGCCGCTGTTCCAGCGCACAAGTTCCCTTTTGGGTGCATTAAACTTGAGACACCATTAAATCATCGCTGTGGCCTGCCAGGTATAGCAGGCCTGCATCTCACAGGTCTGCAGCTTGACAGGAGTCCAGGTCTGGTGTGAGCTTGTTGGTGCAGTGGGCTTGCTGGTGATTGAAACCTGGGAAGTAAAAAAGATCGTTCGGGGAAAGGATGCCGAGTGTGAGGCAAAGGCTTAGTGCTGAATCCGAGGGACACCAGCATGTGAAGGATATAAGGAAACCAGGGACGTGGCTAGGGCAAGACAAAAGCTGATATTGGGGCCAGAGCCATAGCCCGTACAATGGCCAACCCAAGTTCGATCCCCAGCATTCCATAAGGTCTTCAAGCTCTGCCAAGAGTAATTTCTGAATGTAGAGCCAGGAGTGACCGAAAAGGGAAAAAAAAGAGCTGGTGTCATCAAAGCCGAGAGGACTGGGGAGGTTAGTGAGTGGGAGCACGTGCTTTGCATGCAGGAACCCCTGGTTTGATTCCTGGCACCTCCAGGAATATCTATTAAACTACCAGGTGTGACCTAAAACCAATCCAAAAACCACAGAGAAAGGAGGAAGAGGGGGAATAGTAAATAGTGTCAGAGCCAGATGCTCACTAGGAAATAATCTATTTCACTGCATTTCACGACCTAGAGATAACACCCTGCAAGGCAGTTTTGGTAAAATGAGGATCAGAAACGGAACTAATGTGAGGCTAGGGTGATAGGACAGCCGGTAGGGCGCTTGCCTTTCTTGCAGTCAAACTGGGTTTGATCTCTGGGCACCCCATATAGTCCCCAGAGGACTGCCAGGAGTGATTCCTGAGTGAAGGAAGAGCCGGGAGTAACTCCTAACCATTGCCAGGTGTGGGCCCCAAACCAAAAAAATAAACCAAACAGCAGTGGAAATGCATACAATAATATGAATCAGCCTTAAAACACTAAGCTGAGCAAAGGACATCAGCTCAAAACAGTACCTTCTGTCCCATAGATGAACAGGTCCAACTCAGCTATGGTGATAACAAGCAGGTGAGTGGATGCATGGAACCAGGGGGTGAGGAAGGGGAAATGACCACCAAAATGCACGAGAGAACTCAGGGGAAGGCAAAAGAAGTGTTCTGTAGCTTGTCTGTCTGGGGACCAGACCCAGGATGACTAAGGAGCTAAGGAGCTACTGGTAGCGCTCCGGAAACCTTTTCCTGGGGTTGAACCCGATTCTTCCCAGAGGCAAAGCAAGCACTCAGCCATTTGAGCTGTATCTCTGGTATGTTCTCTCACTTTATTGACATCTTTCTTCTACAGGTAAATCATTTGCCATTATTAATTGACCTGTACAGTTAAAGCAGATAGAGTTCTTTTATGTAAATTACATCTTGGTGCTTATTATTCAGTACTCTAAAATTTAAAAAATATTTTAAATGAATATGGTAACTTTTATGAATACATCCATTCAGTTCAACTGTGAAAAAGAATAAGAGATGGATGGTGACAGTTTCATGAAGGGAGATATAAGTTAAGCGGGTTAGAGAGATAAGTGATCTACTGGAGGTAAGGGAATCCCTGGCACCACATATGGTCCCCTGAGCACCACCAGGGGTCACTCCTGAGCACAGAGGCAGAAGTATCCCCAAGCACTGCAGAATGTTGTCCAACACTCATCCCCAATTAATTTAAAACTAAAGCAAGTATTTGCTAACGTAAACATTCCTTCCTCCCATTTGTTATACCATCTTGTTCGCATTCAAACTCAAGTCAGCTAAGATACCACAGTCACCTAACGGCACCAGAGGGAATACAGGATTAATGCACTTGCTTTGTTGGGGGAGGATAGAAGGGCAGGTAGGGCACTTGCCTAACATGTGGCCGGCCTGGGTTCCATCCCCAACTTCCCATATGGGCTCCCCAGCACCGCCAGGTGTAATTTCACAGTGCAGAGCCAGGAGTAACCCTTGAGCATTGCCAGGTGTGGCCTAAGCACCAGATACAAAACCCAACCAACCACGCTTGTCTTGTGTGTGGCCAGCCTCAGTGTATTCCTCCGCGAACAAGGGGAGTGACTGCTGGTCACTGGTGTATGGCTCAATCCTCCGCCTCACCCCACCCCACTCACCCTGCTGAAAAACAATATATCTCCTGGCTCACATTTCGACTTTTTAAAAACTCTGGTCAATGGAACGTTTGTTTGACCTTGTTCCTTGACCTTTTAAACATTAATCTCTTAGGGGGAAAAAAGATGCTGTTTTGAAAGGCTTTATGAATAGATCTTTTCAGATTATGTTCCTGTGTATAAAGCTAAGTGAACTGTGGATTCAGAACACTGAACTAGATCCCGATGGCGGCGCTTTAGAGAGGATGGAAATGAATGAAACGTGTCCTTGCCAGGGACAGGTCCGAGTCCTCACACTCCAAGGCAAGTGCTCTGCTGCTGAGCCATAGGCTTGTTTGCTTCTGCTTACTTTTTTTCCTAGAGCTATACCCGGCGGTGTTGAGGGATTATTCCTGGCTCTCACCCCCGGGTCTTTGCGTGCACTAACACTCGAGCTATATCTACACCAAACCCAAGAAAGAATGGTTTGGGGTCACACCAGGTGGTTTGGGTGCTCTTCCCAGAGATACTTTAGGGATCATGCAGTGCTGGGCTCAGACTTCGGCCTCCTGCATGCAAAGCGTGTGTTTGGCCCCTGGGAACTCTTTCCTTGCCCTCTTTCTCCCCCACACTTGCCAAAGTAACATTTTTGTTGTTTTGTTTGGGGAGGGGGCCACACCGAGTGGTGCTCAGGGGTTGCTCCTGGCTCTGCACTCAGGAATTAACTCCTGGCAGGGTTTGGGGAACCATATGGAATTGAACACAGGTAGACCTAGTGCAAGGCAAGCACCCTACCTGCTGTACTTTTGCTCTGGCCCACAACCAGAGAGTAACTTTTTTTTTTCTTTTATTTTGGGTCACACCCAGCGATGCACAGGGGTTACTCCTGGCTCTGCACTCAGGAATTACCCCTGGCGGTGCTTGGGGGACCATATGGGATGCTGGGAATTGAACCCGGGATGGCCGTGTGCAAGGCAAACGCCCTACCCGCTGTGCTATCGCTCCAGCGCCAATCAGAAAGTAACTTTTGAGGAATACAAAACATTAGAAGCAAGGGGCTGGAGCAATAGCACAGCGGTAGGGCATTTGCCTTGCACGCAGCCAACGTGGCCAACCCGAGTTCGATTCCTCCGCCCCTCTCGGAGAGCCCGGCAAGCTACCGAGAGTATCTCGCCCGCACGGCAGAGCCTGGCAAGCTCCCCATGGCATATTCGATATGCCAACAACAAAGTCTCCAATGGAGACGTTACTGGGCCCGCTCGAGGAAATCGATGATCAACGGGAGGGCCTTTACCTTTACCTTTAGAAGCAAGGAGACCATTATATATTTATTTTTTTTTATTTTCATTTCATCATCCTGTTAATCGTCGATTGCCTCGAGCAGGCCCCAGTAACGTCTCTTTCATCCTAGCCCTGAGATTATATTCAGGGCTATTTAGGAGAATGAGACCCATCATTGTTACTGGTATTTGGCATATTTGGTACGCCACGGGGAGTTTGCCAGACTCTGCCCTGTGGGCAGGCTACATTCGACAGCCTGCAAGTTTGTCCAAAGTAGGAATGAGATAATAAGATGTCGCGCGGCCGCGAATGCGGCCGCGCGGTTCCAGGATCTGGATTTTATAGTCTCTGAGTCTTGGCCGCTGATGGGATTACACGGCGCCAGGGGGCCAGGTGGTGGGTGTGACCCCCGCCTACTGTAATTTGGAGGATCTGGGTGGAAGATGCTCGACTCCAATTCGAGTAGGCTTGGAGGTCTCGGCCCCGGAACCCGCGTGGCTTTGTCCCTCTGCCAGTACCTTCAGGTGTGCGGAGAGTGGTCTCAGCATGGTGGTGGCTGGTCCTGGAGGTCAAAAAAAAAATCAATATATTTATTTAATTTTATTGAATCACCGTGAGATACAATGCTTTCATGTTTGCGATTCAGCCATATAATGATTGAACACCCATCCTCCACAGGCAGCTCCACCTCCATATCATTTTCCTGACTGGTCATTCGAACCTCTGTGAGAGTGGACAAGTGAGTGGAACGGCCACGAAGACCTTCCCTTGGAGCAGGAACTTTGGAGTTGACTGATCGACGTTTTTGTTTCTGGACAGTTACATTTTCCTGCAAGAGCAGATTGTCCTTTGGGTGTAAGGGAAGAATCTGTAAAAGCTCAGGATTTATCGCGGCCACATCATCAAAATCAATCTGAGCATGCTTTATTCTCATTTCAGAGTGGTGGGCTTTCTTCTCTTCTCTCTTGTTCTTCGTTCTTTCGATTTCCTTCACAACACAGGATTTCCTTCGAACTGAGCTCACAGGGTTTGCCGCAGAGGAGCCGTGGCTGGGATGGACTCGCTCTTCCGCTTTCTCACTGACCATCGCCAGAGCTCCCGCGCCTGGCTTTCCTCGTCGGGGCCCTTGGAGGGGAGCGGGTTGAGTTTCCCTCCCTGCCCCAACCAGGGCTCCAGCAGCCGAAGACCTCCAGAACCAGCCACCACCATGCTGAGGCCACTCTCCACACGCATGAAGGTACCGGCAGAAGATCAAAGGCATGCAGGTCCCGGGGCTGAGATCTCCAAGCCTGCTCGGATCAGGGCTGAGCATCCTCCACCCAGATCCTCCAAATTCCAGTAGGCAGGGATCCACCAACTGGCCCCCTGGCGCCATGTAATCCCATCAACGGCCAAGACTCAGAGACTATAAAGCCCAGCTACCGGAAGCGCGTGGCCGCAACATCTTATTATGACATCTTATTATCTCATTCTTACTTTGGACAAACTGGCAGGCTACCAAATGTAGCCTGCCCACACAGCAGAGTCTGGCAAACTCCCTGTCTCGTACCCAATATGCCAAATACCAGTAACAATGATGGGTCTCATTCTCCTAACCCTGAAAGAGCCTTGAATATGGCACTTTTTAAAAAATCTCTGGGCTAGGATGAAGGAGACGTTACCGGGGCCTGCTCGAGGCAATCGACGAACAATAGGATGGTCGTGATCGTGAACGTGATCCACAAGTATCCATTTTGCACTACCAATGTCCCCAGTATCCCCCTGGCCAGTCCTTACCCTGCCTCTGGGGCAGGCAATTTCCCCAATACTCTCTCTACTTTTGGGCATTATGTTTTGCTTGAATTCAAGTCTGCCTGCCAGGGGCAGATGCTAGATCATTTATTTTCCAATGCTCATTTTGAATATCATGAGAGTTTGCGTGGCCGCTTTGTGGCCATGCACTTCTGGGATCCTAGACTGTAAGATGGTTGGGTTGCAGAGACATCTCTGAAGGGCATTAATCCATTTTGGGACTCAATTGGGAGTCTCTGGACCAGGCTGTTGGTGCACCAAGATGGTGCCCTGCGGAAGCTTGTGAGCATGACAGCCAGGACTCGCACTGCGCTGGGAGCCAGGGAGGGAGCCGCCCCCACCCCACCCCTGCGTGCCTCTGCCGCCATGAGGGCACAAGGAGACCACTTAAAGAACAGTTTAGGGCTAGAGACATACTACAGGGGTTAAGGTATTTGCTTTGCATGCAGCTGACCCTGGTTCAAATCCTTGGGCCCACATATGGTTCTCCACACACTGTCAGGAGTATTTTCTGAGTACACAGCCAGGAAAAGTGCTGAGAACAGCAAGATGTCGTCTCCAAACAAAACCAAACCCTCCCTACCCCTGCAAAAACGATGGGGGCTGGAGAGTACAGTGGGTGGGGTATTTGCCTTGTATGCAGCAATTGGAATTCTGTCCCCAACCCAAATGGTACTGCCAGGAGTAAGCCCTGAATACTGCCAGGTGTGAACTAAAAAAAAAAAAAATGTATGTACACCTATATTCATCGTAGCACTTTGTACAATATGGAAATAACCCAAATGCCTAGCAAAAAATGAATGGGTAGAATCCCTGTGGCAAATGTACACAATGGAGTACAATACAGCTGTGAGCAAAGATGAAATCTTGCAGTTCACTGCAACATAGATGGAACTGGAGGGTACCATCTCAGTAGAAGTGAGAGGGAAGATAAGATACCAGATGATGTCACTCATGTGCAACATCTAGACAAAAAACAAGGGAATTTACACTATTAAACAGGGACAAACCCTTAGATTATAAAACAAACAAACGGGAAAGGTCAGGAGCGAATGAAGATCTGCTTCAAGGTCACATTAGGAGTGTTGGAAGGGGACTTTGGTAGTATGGAGGCAGTAACTGTCCAGTAGTACCAAAACCACAGCACCAAATATAAACATGAATAAAATATTGGTACTTTTCTAAGAACAGAGACCGGGCTGACTGGGAAAAGCATATCACCATTGCATGGGCCCAGAAACAGTACAGCAGGTGAGGGATTTGCTTTACACATGGCTGACCCGGGTTTGATCCCTGGCACCAAATATGGTCCCCCAAGTCCTGTCAGGAGCAATCCCTTAGCACCTCTGAGTATGAACCCCAAACCAAACTACAGCCATCACAGAAACAAGCTGTTGATTGGTTGGATGTGGAAAAAAGGAAGACGGCTGCTGAGTGGAGTCACGCGCCTGCCTTAAGTGCGCTGAGCTGGAGGCCCCAGCACCACCTTTGCTGCCCCACTGAACTTTTTTTTTTTTAATTTTTATTTTTTATATTACTGAAACACCATGAGGTACAGTTGTAAATTTACAATTTTCTGTGCTTGGGTTTCGATTATACAATGATCAGATACCCATCCCTCCACCAGTGCCCATTTTCCACCACCATGGATAATATCCCCCCACCCCCATACCCCCATCACCCCCGCCTCTGTGGCAGGGCAATCCCCTGTGTTCTCTCTCTCCTTTTGGGTGTTGTGGTCTGCAAAAGAGGCATTGAGTGGCAAACTTGTTCAGTCCATAGTCTACTTTCGACATGCATCTCCCCTCCTGGGAGGATCCTCCAAATACCCTTTATTTGGTGCTTCCTTCTCTGTCTGAGCTGCCCTTTCCCCTAGAATGCCCGGCTGGCTTCTAAGCCATGGAGTAATTCTCCTGGTACTGATCTTGGCTATTCTTGGGTATTAACCTACTGTTTTGTTACTTTATGTCCCCCAGATGAATGCAATCTTTTTATGTCTATCCCTCTTTTTCTGACTCATTTCGCTTAGCATGATACTTTCCATGTTGTACCACTTGTATGTAAATTTCATGACCATCTTTTCTAACAGCTATGAACTATCTTTTTTTCTAATTCAGTCACCATTAGAATCAGATTCAGTCCTACAGTGTTCCAACACACTTCCTTCCACCAGTGTTAAACTGTCCCTTGAGCCCCAAGCACCCACTTTGTCTTGTCAGCTAGGTGTGGTACGTAGAAGCCAAGAGGGAGATCTATTTGGCAACTGGGAGGCAGAAACTTAGTCCATGGCCCTCCCCCACATCATGCCTTGTGGTGGCCCTGGCCCTACCCGAGGGCCAGCTGTCAAGCTTCACAAGCAAACTGCTGTCCTCTGCTAGCCCCTGGGCGTCTCATCCTTCCATCCTTTCTATCCCTTCATTAATTCCTCTCAAAAACCACGTTTAAATGTGTCTTTCTTGGGGCTAGAGCGATAGCACTGCGGGTAGGGCGTTTGCCTTGCAAGTGACTGACCCGGGTTCGATTCTCAGCATCCCATATGGTCCCCCAAGCACTGCCAGGAGTAATTCCTGAGTGCATGAGCCAGGAGTAACCCCTGTGCATCACTGAGTGTGACCCCAAAATAAAAAAAAACAAACTGTCTTGTTAGAAACTTAACAAGTTTGGTCATATATACTTAAATTTGTGTGTGTATCTGTATGTTTATACATGGAAAGACAATTTCTTGAAAGATGAACACTAAGGGGCCGGAGCGATAGTAGATGTTTGCCGACCTGGGTTCGATTTCTGACATTCCATATGGCCCCCTGTGCATTGCCAGGGGTAATTCCTGAGTGCAGAGCCAGGAGTAACCCCTGTGCATTGCCGGGTGTGGCCCCAAAAGCAAAATAAATTTAAAAAAAAAAAGGTTTAAGGGGCCAGAAGTATAGTACAATAGACAGAGTACTTGCCTTGCATGCAGCCGACCTAGGTTTGATTCCCAGCATCCCATATGGTTGGCCCGGAGTAGTTGCTGAATGCAGAGGTAGGAACGACCCCTGAGCACTGCTGGGTTTGGCCCAAAGTCAAATATATAGGAAAGGTTTAAAAGCCGATCAAGGTCAGGCCGGAGAGACAATACACAAGCATGGGTAAGGTGCTTCCTTGCGCCCTCGGCATCCCAAATGGTCCCCTCATCACCACCTGGAGTGATTCCCTAGTAAAGCGCCAGGATTAAGTCCCGAGCATCGCTGGGTGTGCCCCACCTCCCCACGGCAAAAAAAAAGAGAAAAAAAAGACCAAGGTTATCAATCTGGTAAAAGAAATTTCATAAATTCCCTGAGTAAAGTTGAAATCTCCCCAAGAAATAACCAACAAAACTAGAGAAAAATCCTCAACTTTTCCAAATAATTTAATGATAAATACATATATAGAGAAATGACCTTCCAGGATGAAGGCAGCAGCACACGCGGAGTCTCTCTCGTCTTCACGACTCCCAGCCCTTCCCCCCGGGCTGGTGGGGCAGCTTGAGCCCCACCAAGCCAGCCGACTCTTCCACGGAGCGCTCCCCCTTGCCGTGGAATTCCTCATGGAGGGCCACGTGCTGGCGGACGCTGCGGAGGAGGCAGAGGTAAGTGGCCGCCTGGAAATGAAGCTGGTGCTGAGCTCGGCATAACTTCTCACTGGTCACCTGGGGGAGTAGCAAGGCCAGATATTAAGGCCAGTAAGGGACAGGTCAGCTCTCAAGCCGTGCCACCAGGGCCTCTTCCTCCAGGTTTCCTTCCTCCTTGATCAGACTTTCACCTGAAGCCCCCTGAAATATCTGCTTGTTGTTTCGGGCTCAGAGAACCATATGCCGGGGCTTTAATCTGGGTCTGCTGCATGCAAAGCGGGTGCCCCCTCAGCTGGACTATACTCCAGTGACCATACTCCACTATCCCCATGTTGGAATATCTTGGGAGTCCCAAGGGCAGATGGTTGAGAAATGCAGCTTAAGTGAAAAGAAACTGATCAATCGCATGCAAGACCAGTGCTCTACCAGCTGTTCTAACTCTGGCCCTCACTGCCTTAAAAAAAAAAAATATATATATATATATATTTTTAATTCACACCAGGCAATGCTCAGAGGGCCATATGGGATGCTGGGGATCAAACCCACATCAGCAACAAGCAAGGCAAATGCCCTACCCTCTGTACTATTGCTCTGGCCCCCTTAAACTTTAATAGCAAAGAATTTATCTTTTTTCAACTCCTCCTTTTACAAAGGAGTTATCTAGTATGGTATATCCAGAAAGGTATAAACTGAACTGGTGAAAAACAAAACTGAATTGGTGCTGGGGGCTGGAGCGATAGCACAGCGGGTAGGGCGTTTGCCTTGCACACAGCCGACCCGGGTTCGATTCCCAGCATCCCATATGGTCCCCCAAGCATCGCCAGGAGTAACTCCTGAGTGCATGAGCCAGGAGTAATCCCTGTGCATTGCCAGGTGTGACCCAAAAAGCAAAAAAAAAAAAAAAAACACACCAAAAAAACAACCTGAACTGGTGCTAACTGCACTAGCAAGACCCTCGAACTAAGGAATCTGGAGGTTTAGCAGTGTTGCCTCTTGCTCCTCATGGGGCCACTAGAAGCCATAAGCAACACTTGGCCAGTGGACCAGATGGAACGACAATAGGGCTTGTCAATGCATTGCTGCTTGGACCCTGTAGTGCCAGGGACAGAAGGGAGCTCCCATGGACACAAAGCATGTGCCCTTGTCCCTGGTGCTATCTCAATGGCCCTCAGTGTAACTCCTGAGTTACTCAACATTTAAGGCCAGAGGTAGTACAGCAAGAAAGAGGACTGTGTTTAATGCTGCCAACCCCAGTCCAATACAGTCAGGGTACACATATGGTACCCTGAGAGCCTCCCGGAATGGTCCCTGAGCATGGCCGGTGTGGGCAGTGCCTGCAACCCTTCCTTGTGTCCCCCCCCCAAAAAAAAAAACCCCAAAGCAAATAACCACTTAGGAGAATGGAAGTGTCAAGTCAAACCTCAACATATCAGAGGGTTGCTCAAGGATTACTTCTGGTTCTGTACTCAGGAATCACTCCTGGCAGTGCTGGAGGGACCACAGGAGATCCTGGAGGTCAAACCCAGGTCCACCGCCTGCAAGGCAAGCGCCCTTTCCCCTATACTCTCTCTCCACCCCAAATTACTCTCTTGTTTTTGCTGGGTTTTGGCCACACCTGGCTGTGCATTCAGGGATTACCCCTGGAGGTGCTGGGGGGTGGGGGCGGGTGGGGTGTAGTAGGGACAGGATGGTATGTGGCGCTGGGGAGATCAAACCTGGCTTAACTGCCTGCAAGTCAAGGGTCTTACCCGCTGTATTATCACTCTGGCTCGGATCTGAAACAAATCCTATGTTAGCTTAAGGCTTTTAAAAGACTGATCTTGATTCACCTAAGCAGAATGAGAAGATTCAGCAACATGCACAGTAAATGAATCACAAAAGAACAGATGATGTAGAAAATTCTATTCTTAGTCCAGAAAGATAGTACATGCAGGAATAAGGTGCTTGCACTGTATGCAACTGACCTGGGTTTGATTTCTGGCACCACATACTGTCCCTCAAGCATTGCCAGGAGTGATCCCCGAATGCAGAGCCAGGGGTAAACCCTGAGCACTACTGGATGTGGCTCGCCTTCCCCCATCCTCCCTCCCACCCATAAAGCCCCAAACCCAAAACACTGTCTTCCCTAACAATTCCAAGAGATAACAGACATAGATGGTTTGAGTTAGAGCTGGGCCAGAAGAAAATCAAAAGGGCTCCCCAAATCCTCCTATGCACCCGAGTGGTGTTACTTGAAATCACAGGAGTTTCAAATGTATTCTGTGCAACTATAACCGCGTTCATCTTCCATTACATTTCCAATGAAATAAAATTCTGCCCACTCTTACCTCACTTTCTACTTCAAGTCACCACACCTGGGTGCTCACTACCCTCTAGTTTTTCTCTCTCCTGGGTCTTTCAGATCTTCCCCAACTGCTTGCTAACCCTAATCCATCTGACCTAACTACAAATTCCTGCTGAATTAGTTTCCTGCTGTGCGGGGGAAGGGAGTCCTTGTATGGCCCTTTGCGTTAACGTCCATGGCTCAGATATGCCACACTTCCTTTCTCACCATCTCTCGAAATATGTTTCCATCCAACTTTCCTGTTTCTAAAATAAGTCGCAGCTTTGGGCCACGCGCAGAGATGCTGACGGGCGTCATTCCGGGAAGGTGCTCAGGGACCCTGTAGTGCCGGAAACCGAACCTATGGCTCTCCTGGGATGCAACATGTTTTTGTGGTCTATCACCTTTGGCTTGAGCACCACAGTGGGCTTTGCTGTGGGGGCCACACAACGCTGGGAACCCAACCCGAGCCGCTCGCATGCAATCGGCACCGGCGTTGCCATTTTTACCCAAACCAGACCGGCAACTCCAAAGGTCTCAGCTTAGGAACCAGCTAAACCGAAGTTCCGGGATGCAGGGGAAGAGAAGCATTTCTGCTCTCCGCGGGCAGGGCGGGAGGAGAGATGCGGCCCGCGCTCCCGGTCCCGACAAGGGCTCTCCGCAGGGGCCAACGAGCGGCCCCTGAGCGCCTCGGGACCGGCGCCCCTCGGATCCTGTCCAGGACCGGGTCCCGTGCGATCCGGGTCTGGGGGGTTGGCGGAAGGTGGGTTCCCTCCCCGGAAGCAGGCGTGGGGTCGCACGCGCCCTGCCCGCAGCCGGAGGCCGGGCTGCCGTACCCGATGTGCGCGGAACGCGTTCACGAGGTAGCGGTAGGCCGCGGTGTCGCGATACGGCCGGCCAGTAGCCGCGTCCAGGTAGCGCAGCTCGCGCAGAAGGCCCCGCAGAGTGCGCGTCGGGGAGCCCAGGGCAGCCATGTCCGTGTCCTCGGCCGCTTCCGGGCGGCCCGCGCACGCGCACTGAGGCGGTCAGCCTCGAGCGGCGCCCAAAGGCCGCGCCTGCGCACTGAGGCGGCGAGGGACGAGCGGGCGCCCGCCGGCGGCGCCTGCGTAGTTAGGATGCAAGGGCCTAGGCGGCACACGACGGCCGCGCCTGCGCAGTGAGGAGGCACGGGCCAAACAGGCACCGGACGGCCGCGCCTGCGCAGTAAGGAGGCGAGGGTCGAGCGACGCCCGCCGTCCGTAGGGGGAAGCGAGCGAGTGCCGAGCGTGGACGGGGCAGTCTACGCGCCGGACCCTCGTGGCCGGATCCTTTCGCCCAACCCCGTCCTGCCCGACGCGGAGCCCCTGGCCCACAGAGAGCCAGGCGGGGCCGGGCGTCACATGCCACAGGGGACCCGCCCAAAGAGGGGTCTTGTTTTCGTGCATTTCACGCTTTCTGAGACTATTTAAGAGAATATCAATGTCCAGCAGTCTCCCGGGACTGGCCGGCTGGCCGGGAGGAAGGCCCTGGAGCACGCCGATTCTCGCGAGCCGGAACCCCACAGCCAGTAAAACCGCACAGACCCAGTTCCGTTTCGGAGTTAAATGATCATCGCTCTCGGTGTTTTTTTCTCCTTCCCTTTTTTGGGTCCCTTTAGGAAAGATAGCGGCTTAAGAGAAAAAATGAGAAGGAAAAAGGAAATCACCCCAGATGGGACTCGAACCCACAATCCCTGGCTTAGGAGGCCAATGCCTTATCCATTAGGCCACTGGGGCTTCTGTGAACGACGCGTCCAAACGACGTATTCAATGGATTTCCGGCTTGGGACGTCACGGGCCCCACGCGCCTCCGTGACCTATCCTGGGCTACCACACTGGGGCCGGCGTGCGGGGCCGAGGCATGCTGGGAGTTGTAGTTCGCGGGGGACAAAAAGGGCCGCAGGACAGCGCCGAAAGGCTTTACCCTGGAAAGAGCAGCGCCGCCGCCGCCGCGCCAGACGGAGGCGAGCGCGCGCACGGTGGGGGGTAGGGGGCGTCCGCGCCGGCTCGCTCGCTCACCCTGCGCCTGCGCCTGCGCGCCCGGTGAGCACGCGGCACCACGGAGCCGAGCGCACGTGCCGCGCGGCCGCCGGCGGGAGATGCGAGCCCCGAGCCCCGGCCCGTGGGGCGCGTCCCCGGAAGCAGCCGACCCCTTCCGGGGTCGCGACTTTCCGGGCCCGAGCGCGACGCCGGCCGGCCGTTAGGGAGCGTGCGCTGCGGCCGCCTTCTGCTTCCGGTGGACGCGCCGAGGCCACTTCCGCCGAGCCCTTCCCCCCCACCCCCCGGGGCCCGCTGGACCTGGCTTGTGGCCTCGGCCCGGCCACCAACTGTTCAATCGAGGAGAACTCATTGGGACCCATCGCCTCGGCTCCCGGGTTCGAGACCCGCCTTTCCCGAAAGTCTAGCCAGGGGAGCCCCCTCGTCCCTAATGAAAAGTCCGGGTGACTCCCAAGCACCTTGCAGGACCTTCCAGGGACCCAGGCCATGACCGACCCCTTTTTCTGTCCCTGTGCGGGGCAGTCCATGTCCCAAGTCGCTTTCTCTGGCACCCCTGGGGGTGTCTCACCGTGGGTGTCGAGCAGCTTTGCCAGTTCGCCTGAGCTTCCGCGTGGCTCCAGCCTTTCCGGGCCAGGAACGCCGGCGAAGCCCCCAGGAACGTTGGCCGAGCCCCCTTGCCCGCTGACTCCGGGGAGGGAGCGCCCCCTGCACGTGCTACTCACATCCCTGGTGCCATTTGGGACAAGCCCTTTTTCTTCTTCCTTGTGTGTTTCGCCTTCCAAGCAGGAGCCCGGGGATGTCCCTGTTGACTCTCCTCCAAATTTTTCGGTGGTTGAAGATTCCTGGGCTCCTGGGTGGGGGGGGGCCTCAAGGGCGATGGCGGAAGTGCTGGGACCATGTGGTGCTGAACGTCCAATGGGTCCACGGCCCACAAGCCCTGCAACCGTCTCTGCCTTTTCAACTTTCTGTGTTCGATGAGAGCTAAACGGGTGTCGTTCCCTTCGCAACACGGGTTCGAGACCCGCCTTTCCCGAAAGTCTAGCCTGGGGGAATAATCACGGTTAGTCATTCCTGAACGGGGCTGGGGGATCTTATGGGACGGGCAGAGTCTGAACCTGGGTCTGTGGCGTGCAAGGAAAGTGACCTACACGCTCTACCAAGGCTCCAGGGCCCCATAAACGCCCCTGTGTGTTGGGCGAGGGGAGGGGAAGGTGAATGGGGCAGAAGATACTCAATAGGTTAAAATGCTTGTCTTGGGGCTGGAGCAGTAGCACAGCGGGTAGGGGGGTAGGGCGTTTGCCTTGCACGCTGCCGACCCAGCTTCGATTCCCAGCATCCAATATGGTCCCCCAAGCACCACCAGGAGTGATTCCTGAGTGCAGAGCGAGGAGTAACCCCTGAGCATCAGCTGGGTGTGACCCAAAAAGCAAAAAAATTAAAAAAAAATGCTTGTCTTGCATGAAGTCGAACCCGTGTTTGACCCCAGGCCCCTCATAGGATCCCCTGAACCTCTACGTTTCCTGAGCACAGACAGAGACAGGAGTTAAAAACAGCTTGCCACGTGTGGCACCAAAACAAAACCAAAAGGAATGATAAAAAATTAAAAAGTACACGGAAGTGCTGGAGACAATTCTGGTTCAATCCCCAGTACCCCAAACACCACCAGAAATGATGCCTAAGCACTGCTGGTGTGACCCTAAACCATCCCCTGCCATCCCCCCTAACCCCCCCACAAACAAAGTAAATGAAGCAGGAGGTTGACTTCCACCTGTGGAGGGCGTATTTTCCAAGCTGGTGAGGAAAGAAAAGTCAAGTAAGTGGAGTGATGGCAGAGTGGGAAGGCATTTGCCTTGCATGTGGCCCCGGGGTTCCACATACAGTCCCGGAACCATGCCAGGAGTGATCCCTGAGAGAAATCCCTCCACCTCTGCTCTGTGCTTTGGAGGAAAGCCCCTGAGAATCAGCAGTAACCCCTGGATTGGCTTAAGTCAGAGAGACTCTCCTCTAGGAATTTCCAGTTGTTAGTATTTTTTGGTGGTGCAGGGGGCACACCCGACTAAGGTCAGGAGTTCCTATTGGCTCTGCACCCAAGAGTTATTCCTGGCAGTTCTCTGGGGACCTCACCTGGGTCATCTGCGTGCAAGGCAAATACCCTGCCTGCTGTACTATTGCTGTGACTCTAGTAGCTAGGATTTCTATTTTACTCTAACTTTGGTAAAATCCACTCTGTATACCCAGGGAACTGAGATGAAAGACCTGCTCAAAAATGGACAAACGGGGTCAAGAGATAGTATAGCGGGTAAGACACCCTGCACATAGCCAACCCAGATTTGATCCCAAGCATCCCATATAGTCCCCTGAGCACTGCCAGGAATGACTTCTGAGTGCAGAGCCAGGAGTAAACTCAGAACACCGCCCTGTGTGCCCGAACCCCTCCCCTAAAAAAAAAATGAACACACAAATGTTCATGACAGCATTCTCCATCACAGCCAGAAGATGGAATAGTCCAAGTGCCTCTTGCGTGATGAAAGGCTACACCCAGTGGTGCTCAGGCTGACTGCACACAAGGGAAATGCTTTAACTCCTGTACTGTCTCTCCAGACCTGGGACAGCAAACTGAATATTAGGGTGAATGCGCATCATATAGAAAAACTAGGGATGGTACATGCTGGTAAGAACAACAGATCAAAACGATGGAACCATTGTGAACTGATGCCCCAGTAAAATTTATGGGTCTTTGAAAAGTTATTAAGGACACAGTCTAGTAAAATTGAATGAGAGAGACAAGGGGCTGCAGATGTGGGTTAGTGATGGGGGATTGTGTGGGGGAGGTTCTGGGTGGAGAGTGGTCCCTAAGCATGGGCAGTAGTGACTGCTCCCAATTATAAAAGAGGTTATGAAAAATTATGAGGAGGATTTGAATAAGGAAATTTGTCCCCAAGGAGTTAGTTTTCATTCTCCTAAACTACCCTAAAATGAGCCTCAGTCCTAAGAAATAACTTTTAATTTGTGAAATGTTTCGTATATAGTTTGGGGGCCACATTCAGCAATGCTTGGGAATCACTCCTGGCAGTGCTTGGGAGATCATATGGGGTGCCAGGAATTGAATCTAGGTTGACCACATGCAGAGCAAGTGTTTTTGCCCACTGTAGTATCCAACACCATCAGCTGTACTGATAGTCCTCCAAGCACCACCAGGACTGATTCCTGAGTGCAGAGCTAGGAATAACCCTTGAGCATTGCTGAGGATGACCCAGAAAACAAAGAAATCATATTATTCACTTATGAATAATAAAGAATAAAGGAACCTGCTGAATTGCTCATTTTATAGGACAACTTGTCATATTCATTTGGTCTTGGAACTCACAATCACAATCACAATCATCACAATCACGATCATCCTGTTGTTCGTCGATTGCCTCGAGCAGGCACCAGTAACGTCTCCTTTGTCCTAGCCCTGAGATTTTAAAAAGTGCCATATTCAAGGCTCTTTCAGGGTTAGGACAATGAGACCCATCATTGTTACTGGGTTTTGGCATATTGGGTACACTACGGGGTGTTTGGCAGACTCTGCCGGGTGGGCAGGTTACATTTGGTAGCCTGCCAATAAGGTGTCTGCGCGCTTCCGGGAGCTGCGTTTTATAGTCTCTGGGTCTTGGCCGTTGATGGGATTACATGGCGCTGGGGCAGTTGTTGGATGTGACCCCCGCCTACTGGAAGATGGAGGATCTGGGTGGAGGATGCTCAGCCCCGATTCGAGCAGGCTCGGAGATCTCAGCCCCGGGAACCGCATGCCTTTGTTCCTCTGCCAGTACCTTGATGCATGTGGAGAGTGGTCCCAGCACGGTTGGTCTTGGAAATAATAAAACTGAATAATAAAATAGAAATCCTGGCTATTGGCACTAGAGTGATTGTATAGAGGGTAGGGTTTTTACCTTGCATGCAAATGACTGAGGTTCAATACCAGGTATCCCATATGGTGCCCAGAGCACAAGAAGTAA